ATCAGCAAAGCAGGATCTGCCTTCTTCAGCTGCCTTACAAAGCTGTGGATCTAAAGGAACCTTGCCAAGAAATGGTACCCCCATTTCGTTGCACATCTTCACTGCTCCACCACCACTACTATCAAATACTTCACTGCAAGCAATCAAATTCAGCATTTCTGGTGCTTTTTCTCTCATGCATTCCCAAACCCACTCTGCAACATCTTTCTGCTCACCATTATCTGTCAGCTTCATAAACTTGAAATCGGTGATGGGCTAGCACAAGCCACTCATATTCTCGACAACCCCAAGAACTTTCACTCCTACTTTCTTGCAAAAATTCACTTCTTTTCTCACATCAGCGAGAGAGACTTGTTGAGGAGTAGTAACTATGATTGCACCATCTACTCCAGTGACATCAAGGCATTGAACAATTGAAATGTGTTCATCTGATGTTCCAGGTGGAGCATCAACAATTAGAAAGTCAAGTTCACCCCAGTAAACATCTTTCAAAAACTGCTTGATAAGACCATTTTTGCGTGGACCTCTCCATATAACAGCTTCATCAGGATCAGGAAGCATGAAACCAATAGACATGACCCCAAGGTTGGATTCCACATAGACAGGAGACCACCCAAGGTTGCTCTGGTGTATCTCTTGACCTTCTAGGCCAAGCATCTTAGGGATGCTTGGACCACAAATGTCAATGTCAAGAAGACCCACTTGAAAATCCCTGGCCGCTAAAGCAAATGCCAGCTGGGCAGAAAATGTGCTCTTGCCAACTCCTCCCTTTCCTGATAACACCAATATCTTATGTTTCACGGTAGCCATCCTTTCTGCAATGGCAACCAGATCTGCAGAAACAACTGTAGAAGACAAAGTGACAAATATTCTTAAAAATTAAGGCAATTCAATTGCTTCACATTTTGAATTTTCCAATTCAGAAATGCCCCATTTGAAACACAACCTAAGAGTTCTACAGAAAATAGCAAGAAAGCACATATTTTTTCCATCAAGAAAAAGTGCTCTATAACCATTAAAGATTTAAGGGAAAAGAAGACGAGCCAAAAAGAATATTTTTAGGATAAAAATAATCAGTTTCAGAGGACAATGAGAACATGTCATAAGCTAGCCAATTGTGCAAGCCTTCTGTCGGTGAAAGCATGACTAGGGTTGATCCCACACCATATATAAGCAGTGACAACAATGAGCCCGAGGAGAAACCATACTAAAAGCAATATCTACAAAGTGAGCACATTAGGTTCACAACACACTGAGAAATAGTCCCAAATTCTAGAATCATTAGCCATGGTGCCTTAACAAGCTTATATAAGTAAACCATGTCATTTTGAAGTAGTTGATAGTTGTTGGAAAGAAGCATAAAAGCATAGGATAAAGGTGGAGAGTACCAGCGTCAGGTCCTTTGGGGGCAGTGGCACAAATTTGCTGATTTGGGCATCCTTCGCATGCATCAGATTTCCCAGCAGATTCAGACTGAGGACCTGGGCAATCTGTAAATGCCACAATACAAAAAGACACAAGAATCATATTCATAAGCATAAATAGAAGCAAAGCGAAATTCCAAGAGAGAGAAAGAGAGTGAGAGAGACAGAGAGAGTAAGAAGAAGAAGAAAAAGAAAGAGAAGAAAAGAAAAGAAAAGAAAATGTATACATACGCTCATTGGCATTCTCAAGAATATCTCTGTTATCCATGGAAGCTCTTCTCGTGTTAAAGAGAAAAGGAAAGTTAGTTATTTGAAGCAAGGAAGAACACATGTGACAAATAAAGATGAGATAGACGGTTTAGGGGTTTGGTGGCAAACACCTAACTTGTATTGACAAGCAGAGAGTAAGAACTTAGAATCAAAGTAAAGGTCAAACTCAATAACAAAATGAGTTCATCAAACCAGTGCTTTAAACACTTGAATGGAAAAAATATAGAATATTGTTTCTTAATTAATTAAACTGTACACACGTTCATTCTCATATATAGACCTAGCTAAATATTTAGCTGCCTAAAATAATGACTAATCTATGGTACCAAAATAAGGACAAACCCCGGTGCACAAGGCTCCCCAATTTGCGAGAGTAGAGGTGAGGATTGATTCGATTATACACCGCCTTACCCTTGCATTTTTGCAAAGAGGCTATTTCATAGACGAAGAATATCATACAACAATTAAAATGAATATACGAAGAATATTATGGGGTAAAGGATGTGGGACTATTATAACAATCCCCCTCAAATTGGTGAATGAATATCTACCGTTCCCAGCTTGCCAGTAAGATCCTAAGTCCTCTTCATAAGAAGTTCTTTAGTTAACACATTTGCTAGCTGGACCGCTCAAGAAACATTTGTTGTGGTAATTAGTCCACTATCTAGTTTCTCCTTTATGAAATGTCGGTCTTTCAATATGTTTAGTTCTACCATGCTAAACCAAATTATGAGCAATGCTAGTTGTTTCTTTGTTGTTACAAAACAACATCATAGGATTTTCATACTTTCTCCATAGATCATCCAATATAATCTTCATCCATGGTAGCTCACAATCTTCATCCACGGATTTGGTTCCTAATATGTTCATAATATTAAATTCACACACACTAGAGCAGTCAATATGATATGGGCCATCCCACCCTATTCATCCTCAGCCCACATGAGCTATGGCTAAAAATCCCAAGGGCCAACCCATGGGCCTTTGAAAGCTTTAATAGCATTTTTTATTTAATAAAAAAGAAAAGAAAATCACAGCAAAATGATCTTATTGCTTCAACAACAACCTCTAACAGCAATATGAAGGTTGTTCAAACAAGTTAATCATAATTTTTCTGATGAATTATGAGCTCCAATAGTCTCTTCATACATTGATTAACATTAACAGGTGGAATTAGCTCATCCAGTTCAGTGTAAATAAGTGTTAGCTGCGGGTACTACACTACTACACATACATTCTTTGGCCCAGTGAAAGGTGAAAAGGGCAAAAATAGCAAACAGACCATGAAATAACTACTCATACAATATCCAATCTGATCATCCATTCAAAAAATTTCAAATACATAAAAACAAAACTAAAAGCTCCAAAAAAAAAAAAAAGTGTTGCATGAAAGCTACGCCCCTAAAATAACGCAAATTTAAAAACTAGAAGGATCAACAAGCCAAGTGAGTCGCAGATTTGAAAGCATACCGAAAATAGACAAGAGTTCAGAAGTAGACGCCGACGTCAATAGCAACCTCCAAACCAGGTGAGTCGCACTTTCCAACTTCAGAGAAGAAACAAACAACGTTTGGTTGCCGATAAAAGAGTAGAAAAAGGAAAAGAACCGCAATGGTGGTGGGAAAATGAAAATATATCGCTTTGTTGTTTTATTATTATTAGGAAAAAAAGAATCACTTGTATCTGTAATTTTTTTTTCTATTATATGTTCGTATAATTTGTAAAAAGTAAAAAATTACGGTGGTATATGTGATAAAAAAATATATCCTTTTACAAATCATAAGTCATATATGATAAAAAAATCATAAAAACATAGATAATTTTGAAATAAACTACAAGGGTATTAGTGAACTTTTTCCTTATTATTATTAAAAATTTTATGAATATAATAGAAAAATACCGTCTTACGTGCACATAAATATTGTGGGTTCCATTATATAAAAGGACAAAAAAAATTGAAGTGCCTCTCATGCTTTTTTGAGTGAGTAGGAGAAAGAAGTTGTGTTAAGTAACATAACACCTCTATTTTCCTATTACTAATTGGATTTAATGTTTTTACATTGAATACAGATAAGTTTTCTATATTCGGTCCCAAAATGATATCGTTTTGAGTTGAAAAAATATAATAAAAAGACTATTATAATCCTAAAATAAGTTACAATTACAAAAATACCTTGATTTCTGTCTTAAAATGACATCGTTTTGTGCTCAATGTAGATAAGTTATTTACATTGATTGTAGAAAAAATGAACTCTTACTAATTCTATATATATTCTATATAGGTTCGTTTTTTCTACTGTCAATGTAGATAACTTATCTACATTAACCCAAAACGACGTCGTTTTGAGCGAAAATCAAAGTATTTTTGTAATTATAATTTATTTCAGGATTATAGTAATCTTTTTCATTATAATTTTTTAATTTTTCAATCCAAAACGATGTCGCTTTGAAAACGGATATAAATAACTTATTTATATAACCGGATTATATTATTAACTGTGCAAGTTACCGAACATATAAATTAAATTCAAGGATAATACTCAATAACACTGTTCCTGTAGACATGAGAATCCCTCATTTCCAATACAATCTCTCATTACCACCAATGCTTTTTTTTTTTTTTTTTTTTTTTGGAAACAGTCCACCAATGCTTTTTATTTTGCAATCAGTCATTTCTAATACGATTACCAAAATTGGAAATGAAAATGACGGTGCTATTAAATATGCTCGTAGGAAATGAAATAATTGTATGATTGAAGTTGGAAAGCAAGAATACATGCCAAAAGATATCTGAGCACATAAAATTCGAGTAACGATACAGTAACACATAATAAGATTACAATGTAAAAGTTTTACAATAACAATAAAGCAAAACTATTGTCAAATATGTGGATCAACTAATAAGAAATGTTTTCTATTTAATTAGTGATCTCAAGTTCTAATCTTGTAAAAGCAATTGCGTTAAATAATCGATGAATCGATAGATAATATAAAAAGTAAAATAAAAAACAAAATTAAATCTATGTTATATGATAGCATCACTTTAATTTCTATATCAGAAGTAATATTTAAGGGAAATATAAATCGTATGTTGCATGAGATTTGCTATCTCATGCCATAGACACAAAACATGTGGGACCCACTTTTTTAAAAAAAAGTAAAAAAATAAATAAATGCAAGCACACCTTTTAATGTATGAGTAGGAGAGGTATGTTATCTCATGTAACATGAGAAAAACATACCCCAATATTTAATTGACTTATTTACTATGTTACTGTCTCTATAATTATATTATTTAGAATACCATTCTGTATCAAAATTTATATAGAACAAAACATAATATTGTATTGTGCTCTAACAATTGATCATATGCATTCTACAACCAAAACCTCATTAATTTGTTGATGCCTGAGGATTATAAGGTGCAGAGAGCACATTATGAAGATCCCAAACAGCCATCCTCCCCTCTTCTTCGAAAGGTCTCCAATCTCAGCATTTTCTGGAGTTAACGGTCACCAATCCAACGTCTGAATGAAAGGGCACAAGGACGTATTCAAGTAGAGAGACTTTAAAAATAGTAATCTCTACAGCAATGGAGTTAAAATCTCTATCAACCCTATTATCCATTTCCAACTTGTTAATCATGCAATTATCCTTAAACTAGCCACCCTTGGAAGAAAACAAAGTCAAAATTAGAATTGAAGTACGCTTTGTATACAAGTTTGCCTCAACGATATGATCAAATCACTCCAAATATCCTTTTTTACCCTCCCTTGATGGGAAGATTGCAGTAATCATAATGTACATTAAGGAGAAGAAATTCCAATAGAGAAGCTACAATGTTTAGCTTAGCATGGCCACCACATCTGAGCAAATGAGAGCAAAATTGCGGTACTAGCAGCAGGTTCCAAAACAGTAAATCAGCCTAATCAATCATGCATGCCTGCATCAATTAAAATCCAACATTTTTTAATTAGTCAAGTACGTACTCCGACTTAGGTAGGTCATCCAAAATGGGTAAAAATAATCCACCTTTAACAATGAAGAATAAGCGTTTTCACAAAATAAAAAACCTGTAACGGCGATGTGTCAAATTACCAAACAAACCTGCCTCCATTCATAGGCATGTGAAGAGAGTCAAGCGGTCAATAAGAGAAGGGCACTACCAGAAAAGCTGACTAGATAATACAATTATCATGAAGATTCGGATGATAAAATATACCAGGGTAAGGATAGGATAACTAAATCTCACTATATAAGCAACCAACATTCAATGGAATAAGCTTCATATCCAAAACATCATGTTGGATTGTTGGAGACCATTCAGAGCATTAAAAAGTTGAGATTTGAAGCACGACAAACTAGCAACAATTACAGATGGCAACAAGAAAATTGTTAAGACAGAGAGATAAAGAAAATCCAACAAATTATTAAACAATATAAAGTATACTAGCACCCCATGTCTGACAATCTACAATACTTTAACATACTTGGTGAAAAAAGTAGCTAGATGTCCAAAAGATGCACCCAGCATCCCAGCCAAGGACATGCCTATGAGCAGTCCTACCTGAAAAGATGTCAAAGTCATAACTTACCAGACACTTTCATGAATTTTCTTTTGCAATAGCTTTCAAGGTATAACTTTACAGTTAACTCTGAGAAAATGTATTTAATCGCAGGTATCCGAAACAAAGGCTCAGAACCCAATGTCTTCACATTTTCAGAAAGACTTGTCCTTCAATGAAGAATGTAATTTCCTTCACAATCTTGTATTCATGTCTTTATAGAGAACTTGTAATTAGGGGTTGAGGCCTACAAAAATAGGAATCTATCAGAAGTTTAAGATAAGCATATGCTGACAACAAGAGAGTAACATGTAACTAAAATGAGAGCTTAAGTATGAATCCAGCATGCAACAAAATTTCATACTCAAACAAACTGAAGCTTTCCAAGAGGTTTAATTAAGACTGCTTGCTGAATACAAATATACTACTCAGACGGCAATATATCCATTCTCAATTCAGCATCTTGTTAACATGAGTCGTTTTTGGAAATGACCATAGTGTCATGACCGTATTAAGTATAATTGAAGTGGTAACACCATGTCATAAACCAACTCTTTCCAAAAGCTTAAGCTATTGGATGAAGGCATATGAACGGTTTTATATCTAACACACCACAAGAGGGAAAATATTTACAAGTTCACATTTAGTATATAAGAGATAACTCCGTCCAAACAATCATATATATCATACTATGCAAATTGCAATAAGAACAAACAAGTTAACAACCAATCAAGATCAAAATTACAACTGAAGATTCAATTCAAGTTCATTAGGTCTAAGAAAATACCTTGCTGGAGCCAAAAGGACTGGGTCACTCTGACTACAAGAAGAGAAATAGTCTTCATCTCAGGCAAAATCAAAGAGAAGAAGAGAAAAGGAATGTAGTCCGGCATCCTCAAGCTGGACTTTATAGCATGTAAATCCAAATATCCTATTATGAGCATTTTACTCAATTAAAGTATTAGATGATTTTATTGTTCTCTGTAAGATTCAAAAAAAATGTCGAAGAGATTTGAGAAGTATACTTGTAGTCAAACTCTCAACTTTCTGAGTATCAGATGTCTCAATGTTGTTAAGTTCTATAACCTCTTAAGTTTGTCTCTCTCACTCTCCAGCTTCAAATGACCATAATTAATAATCAACTCTTCAACTCTGCATCTTTCCTCGTTGATGGTTTTATAATCAACACCATAAATTCATAATATGATCCTTCAGCAATATCATTTTCTTCATAAACTAATTGATCTAAACTAAACACTCATATGTCATGGAATCTATAACAAAGAAATTTTTACTATACTAATTACTCCCATCTAACAGCTGGAGATATCAATTTTGCAGTTTCCCATGTATCTCACGCATCAACAACTTTGAATTATCAACAATGTGTTTGCTTTTATGAACTATACAACTACATAACTCATGTCTACGAGCAGGTCTCAAAGATCTTAATTGAAAAAGGGGATTTGTCATTACATTACTATTATACAACTCTCTTGCTGGCTGAACATGCTTCCACCAGAAATCAGATAGTGCCATTTTCATTACATCCCAATAATCTGCATCACGATGCAACCTGAATAGACTACTACCGTTAGGAGTCCAAACATAAAAATCCATCCAATCCCTTCCTAGGATCTCCATTAAACCCTGAGCTTGAGGAATATAGTAAATTGGAATTCGAGACCAAGGGAAAGCTTTACCCATGTCTCCATTGAAATATGGACACTTTATCTCCAGTACTCCACAAGAAGGCAACTCATACACCAGCCCGTCAACTATACCATCTGGTGAAGCAGCTAGCCAGTTGTCTTCTGAGTTTGCACCATAGACCTGAAATTCAGGAAACAATACAGTATTTCCAGTTATCAGTTTGTATCTTTCAAGTGCTTCCTCCTCTTTGATATTGCTCCAACTGGTGGCAAGGTTTCCAGAAAAAGGTTCAATAGCACCGATCTTCTCTAACCAAAGCTGGGTCCTTCGCCGAGGCCAAAATCCAATAGCGCCAGCAAAAGTGCTAGCTGTCAATTTGTGTTTCCTAAGTGTTTGCCAATTTTTAAACCAGTGTTGAAGGCTGCCTGCTTGAAGGACTGAATAAATTTCACCAGATGTGTATTTCAGCATGCCACCAACAGTAACCAATCTTCCAGAGGGGTTATTAAGAGCATGGCTACTGGCATGAGGTCCTCCAATGACTGCTACAGAAGTATTGCTATTAAAGTTTCTCTTATTACCCAGACATGCAACAAGTGCACCCATACAACAGCTACTTTTTTGCTTGAAACATTGCAGCCAAACAATAGACAATGAAGCAGCAATTTCACCACTGTCAAAGAAGAGAAACTGTCACTTGAAATGTGGATATAGACTAGGCAATAACTGATACTTCTCAAAACAGAAAAATAACATTTAAAAGAGCAATACTCTAGGTAATTATGGTTATCTTGAGTTCCTATCAACATTGAACAAGTATATGGTTTCATTCCCATATTAATTTTTTTAGCAAAGAACCAATTCAGGACAGTTTAATTTTTAAAATTCTTAGAATTACACCAAAGTCTGAAACAGTAAAATACGGGATGGTACAAAAGCTTTTCTATAGTTGCAGACAAAGAGGTGATAATGTCCGATCAGAAAAAAGCTGACAAACCCCACGTCCTGGACTTGCGAGGGTAGAGATGAGCGTTGATTGTACACAGTCTTACCCTTATATTTTTGCAAAGAAATTATTTTTGAAAAGAAATTGATTCACATACTCGATCTGGTGATTTTCTAGCCACAAAGAGTAACCTTAGCACTGCTCCAAGGCTCTCGCCCTAAAAAATAGTATGGACATTAATGTGTAGCTTTACTATTACCCTTTCTAATTCGTTATGAAACATTCTTCTACTACTACTTTTTTCTTTTTCTTTTTCTTATAAAAGAAGTGCTAATGGTTTATTTATTGAAAGTGTCCCTATATATTTTAAAGGAGAATAATTTATTTGAACCAAATTAACGTAAATTGTCTCTGTCCAATCTATATTAGCTTGTAGTTAACCAAAAGGGGCACTTACCTAGGTTGTCAGTAGCGGCCCGTAGCGCCGCTAAACCGCTACCGTAGCGGGTAGCGGCGGTCGGCCGCTACAAACCGCGACGCTACGCGACATTGGCCGTAGCGGAAGGTAGCGGCGTAGCGTAGCAGCAATACCTCTACCCGCTACCCCGCTACACCACTCCCATGTTGGAATTTGATGGAGAATCCGAAGATGATGATGATTTTCTTTTTTAGTTCACTTCTTGTACTTGGCTATTTGACAATTTTATTGTTCAGTTGTGTTTAATTTTGGATCCTTCCTTTATGTTCCTTATATTTGACATTGATTGTGGAATTATGTGTTTGATTTTGTGTGACTTCTTATGTTTGAGCATTAATACTAAAAGCGGTATTGCCTTGTTTCTTGACGTTAGTATAATATATGTGGAATTAATACTTCACCGTAGCGGTAATACCGCTACCCGCTACACCGCTATACCATTTTTGGGGTCGGCCGCTACTGGCCGCTAACTGCTATTGACAACTATGGCACTTACAAATAAAAGACATTCGTGTTATTCAACGGATATTAGAAAAGAAGACTGTTAGCTGAAAGAACCACTCTAGCAATTGTTAAAACCTCAAAACAGCTTTCCACCTTAAAGTTCCGTGCCATTAAAAAGTACCCAATCGTTGGAGCATTTCATCGAATATAATAAACGCAATGACTCACAAACTTTCTTCATCTTAGAAGTTAAAACCTCACAGAACCAAACCATATAATCTCAATCCCCCATGAAGCCAAACGAGCATGAAACATAGAAGAGGAATAAATATGAGAAAGGAAGAAAGAAAGAGTTGCAGAGAAAGTTTTTACCAAAAGTGGTGAAGTTGAGGGTGGATAAGGAGAGTTGGGTGTCGCACATGAGCTGAGGTGAAGCCTTTCTCAACTCCAATCATGGTGGCCATGGAGCCATCGACAGAGACAGAAAGAGAGACTAACGCGTAGGTTCCAGAAACAACCTAAGTCGACGAATGCTGCACAACGGTGGTTCGAAATTCGAATTATTCGTGTTTGGTCTGAGTTTGATAGGTTTTGACGTTTTGTGATTTGTTTATTTATACGTGCAAAAGGTAAAAATAAATATAAAAATTATAATTATATAAAAGGTGAAAATAAATTTATATGGTCATGATTCTTCATATTTAAAGTGAAAGCATTAAATATGAGAAATCATAATCATATAAAAATGAAAATAAATATAAAGTATTAAATTTGAAAAATTATGAGATGGAAATAAATATAACCGTTGGATCAATATAATCGATCCAACAGTAAGATTGATTAGTAGTCACTTGGTAGTAACACAACTTGGTTATCACAATATCTTTCTCGTATTTAAAACAAAAACTTTTTAGCAAATTCCATTAAAAATGAGTTGAGTTGGACGGTTTTTTCATTAAAATAAGTCTAATGAATTTTAATTTTTAATACAATTTTTTTATTATTCTTAAAATACTTTATCATCATGATATATTAAAATATTTATAAAAAACAGATTTTTCAATATTTTAATTTTTTTTAATTATATGAAAAAGACAATTTTTCTTAAACAGACTATTCAACATATTTTTGAGTTTAAATAGAAGAAGCTACTTTACCCCAAAAAAAATAAAAATAAATAAATAAAGCATTGAGAAGTGGGTTTAAGAAAAATAGATTCATTTTAAGAATTATAAGAAAAAAGTAAGTATATTAAGAATTAAAGTTAAAAAAAAAAAAAAAGTCTAAGTTGGATTGGTTCACCAATTGTTTTCTAATACACTTTTAAAATTGAAAATAAATCAAATAAAAATAATGAAAAATGAGAATATTTTACAGATAAACTGGAACCCTTAATACCTTGGATTGTTGTCTCACTTGTCTGAGCATTCTATGATCAAAGTATGTAATTAAAAAACCAATATTTACAATGCAATATCATTTCAAAATATAAGTTAAGTTGTCTTTGTTTAAGTTAAGTTGTCTTTGTTTTGAATGTTGCAAACCCATTGGGATCTGAATCAAAATATAGGCCCAATGACATATATATAAAATATGCATTGTTTTTTTTTACAAATAAAATATGCATTTTAAATGTAAATTAAATATAATGAACACACATATTTATAAAAAAGCATTACCAGAAATCTAAATATTCCTCATAAACAGAACCCAATATTCTCATCTCTGCATCCTCTTCCATTTCCTCTCAACAATTGGAACTTCTAAGTTCTAACTCCATATTCTTCCTCTCAATTCATTTTCTCCTTCCTTTCTCACATTCTTCCTTTCCTCTCAGATGTCTTTGTTCTTCAATGTTTGCATGTGTCAATTTTTTATTGTCAGCATGGTGCCACCACCTCAACGCCAGTATCAACTTGTCATTTTTGTTCTTTAGCGTGTGTAAACAAGGGAAATTTTTAAAATGATTCGGGACTACCAAATTTTTTGGTGCTACTTTTTCTTTTTTGGTAAAAAAATTATTCTTAAACCCTTCTTTTTTTTTATATTTCTCTCTCAATCCTCTTTTATTTTTCTTTTTGACAGAAAGCACCGTGCTCTCGGACCACGAAAGAATCGCTTGTAAACAAAGTCGAACTCAAAGAATACAAGAGTACAAGAAGAAGTGAAGGAAAAAGAAAGATAGATAGTCTTTGTCAATTGGAGACAAATAGGGAAGATAATAGATACGGAAAAGTTTATGAACTCCATGTGGTTTACTATTTTATCACTTATATTTCTATTTTTTTTATCAATTATCTCATGTGATTTTTTTCCATTTAAGTACACTTTTAACATCATTAGTAATTTAATTAACTTACTCATTTTACCCTTATTTTAAAATGGGATGCTTCCATTCTAGTCCATGTAACTTGCCCATTTAATTAGTCAGTCATCCATTTTACCAAAATGGTTTCCCCCCTTGATAAACATATAGTTTATCATGTTTTTAGGGTTAATATTACATGATTTACCTAGTCTAAGACATGGATAATTAGGTTTATAGTGGAAAAATATGTAAAGTTGAGTTCAATCTAACATAATTCATTCTTATTTGATTTTTTAGGTAGATTGACTTGAATTATGCTAGAATGAAGAAAGACTTTGGGAAAGGAATGGAAGATCAGGAAAGTCATGGAGAGCATCCAAGAAGCAAAGCTCAAGGATGAAGGAGAGTGTTACAATGTTGAAATGAGCGTTGCAACGCTCTGGCTATCTCGAAAATAGAGGAGGAAGCTTCGGGTTTAGCGCATTTTCACACTCTGTAGAGCGTTGTAACGCGCTATCATATGAGGAATTTCCTTTCAAGGAGTGAGTTATAACGCGCTGTAGAGCGTTAAAACGCTCTCCTCCTGAAAGCTTTTGTGCCTGAGCGCGTTATAACGCTCTAATGATATGGTTTGAGATTTGATGGAAGATCATACAAAAAAATAAAAAAGATATGGTTTCTTCTATAAAAAGGGGCTGGCACATTTACAAAAGGAGCTTTTGATCAATTGAGATTGGAGATTACTGAAAGGAGAGAGAGAAACACGTTTTCATGCTTTGGAGCGTTGGAAGAAGGTGGAACTCACAAAGGCGCTGGTAACTCTGAAAATTCAACAAACTGTCATCAATGGAGTTTGAGGATTCTTATTTGTTTTCCATTGTTATTAATTTCGATATGCTAGGCTAGATTTTTTATGTAGTTAGGGAAAGATGAAACCCAATTGAATCTTTGTGTTATGAATTAAATTGTTTCTGAATTAAATTGTTTCTGAATTCTTCTCTTTCTATCATTGAATGAATTTACCTGTTTTTAATGCTTTCTATGAGTTTGCTCCTTGTATATTGATTTAGGGGAATTGCATGACAATAGAAATATTGGTGCATGAACCCTGATTTGATAAATTCATTATAATCCTTGTGATCTAGGAATAAACATAGGGCAATTGTGCAATCTTTGAATTCTTGATCGTAATGCATGTTTCCTTGAGGAACAACCGAGAATTAGGATTCTTTCAAGATCACATAGAATTAGGGTAATAAGGAATTGAGCCTTAGTTAATTTAGAAAGAATTGATTGCATTATATTAAGAGTAGATTCTTAACGTATTACAAAAAAAAAAAGAGAGTAGATTCTTAACTGTTTAATTCATAACATAAATTGATTGTTAAAACAACTCATCTTTTTAATTACTTTTTAATTCTAAATTTACATGTTATTGATTGTTTTTAATTTCAATTCTCTTCATCTCAATTTTCCCTAACCGTATTACATGTGAATTTGGATAAAAAAAATCACAGGAGATAATTAATAAAAAAGTATATAAAAATATAAGTGATAAAAGAATAAACCATAGGAGAATTTATAATCTTTTTCTCTAATGATATGCTATGGCACATTCCGGAGTATTTATGGGCATGCTTAAAAAAATTAGAACTAGAATTTATTATTGCATAGGTAGTAATTTTAGTGCCTATACTCGAATATTTATATATTTGAGTTAGTTAAATATTACCTACGTTTTAGTTAAATATAATTTTTTTTATAAACTAACAAGATAAGAGTACAATTTTATTATTAAAATTAAGGAAAAATATATCTCCTATTACATGAGATAAAATTATTTTCAACAACCCAAAATTACAACATTTTAGGTATTGAGAGAATTATTGAATGATGTTTTAGGAATTTTGTCTGTTTCTTTGTTATATGAATTTATCAAAATACCTTTCATTAATTCTCTCAATGTTCAAAGCGACGTAGTTTACCGTTTCTCCTGTTATAAAAGATAAATTTATCAATGCAACCCCAAAACTATATCGTTTTTAGGGGTGATGAAAATAATAAAGGGTGTTTTGATAAAATTCTAACAAAAACAAACAAATGATCTGTTCGATTATGTTATTTTTTTTTGTTCTTAAAATGCTTTGTAGAATAGTTAATTAAGGATGTGTTTTTTGATTTTCAAATTTAAAAGTCAAAACACAAAACAAAAATAACTCTGATATATTCTCTAAATTTGATTCTAAAACCTAAAAAATAGTTACAATCTTTAGAATTATTTTTACAAAACTTGTCTTATTAAACATAATTTTTTGTTCAGAAAATCAAAAAATTATTTTTGAAAACAGAATTATATCCTTTATTAATTCTCTTCATCTTCAAAATGATGCAGTTTTGGGTTGCTAGAGATAAATTTATCTCATAGGACATAAAAACATTTTTTCCATGTATAAAACAACAAATATTAATTAAAAATGTAACACCTAACTCTATTAACAGAATATGTATGTGTTATTATAATATAGTGTGGAACAGAATCGGTGCTCTAGTAACATACTTTTACTTAGGAATCTTCGTATATAATTATTTAGATCTAGACTCAAACTTGTTTAATTAGTAAAGGACTTATTCATTGCGGGTAATTTTTATAAATATCCATCTTGTTCGGTGCTAATTGACATCCCTAAAGACAAATGTAAAAGCAACTTTACCTCGTTTCAACTCAAAAAAGTATTTGAGGCCAAAGCGACGTTTGATCACATAACCACTAAAATACAAAACAAATAACCCCCAAGGGTGGGTAGCTTAGTTGCCCGCTGAGCTCCTAAGGGATTGCTTGGTGCAGGGATCAAATCCTGTCTCAAGCAGTTTCTTGTAAAATCTTTGGGGGTCAGAGGACAAGTCAAAAATCTTCGGTTGGAGGATTAGTCTCGTTCTTTCTTCGGTTGCGAAGTTTAGTGCACTCACTAATGTAAAAAAAAAAAAAAAAATACAAAACAAATTAACCCTTAATTAGGAAACTGTTAGGGAAATTTTTTTAATACTACAAGTATCGGTACACTCGTTTACTAAAATGTGTAAGATTTGATATAAAAGAGACGATGGTTTCAAAATATGTATTCTCTTTCTCTATATATAAATTAAGGAAAAATATATTCTTATGTTGTAGGAGAAAATTTTTCTCTCCTACACGTACATTGATTTTTGTGATACTTTTTTATTTTTCTTTTCTTTTTCTATAATAGGTGGATCCCACACATAATTATTTCTATTGCATGAGAGAGTTCTCTCCTATTGCATGAGATTAATAAAGCCTATAAATTAAAGGATTTGATTTTCTCATATTGCATGATAATTGAATTCTTATGTTGTACTGGTGAACTTTATATTTATTAAAAAGAAAAAAGAAAAAAATTTTTGCACGCAAATCAAAAAATTACATAAACTAATAATCGACTTCTTGTTAAATATTATTAATTCTTATGCAATTACTATGTTATAATTATAACTTTATGTTTTAGGATATTGTTATAATATTAATATTGGTATCGTGCAATGTTTGCAAAATTTTAGACAAAACCTAATGGAAAAAAAAAAAATTCGTTCAACATATTGTTGGTAGAGAATATGGGTCAGTTGAAGAATGAAAATATTTTATAAATTATAAAAGAGAGAGGATAATTTGTGTCATTATATAAATTAAATAAGGATACACAATACATGACGAAAATACATGTGACTGGTACTCTTGATACTTACCATTCGAGCATAGTTTTGCTTTGATATTTCTTGGCCATGTTATGAAGCAAATTAAGCCTTAACCCATACATATGTGATGTTAGCAGAAAGCAAAAGAAAGAATAGAGGGGTATTGTGAATAGAGTTACAAATAGAAATTATTCTTGGAAAAGAGAGGGGGGCGCAAGTGGAGTGTGAGTACAAAGAGCAGAAGATTTGTTAAAAATATTTGATATGTTAAAATATTATTAAAAAATTAATATAAGTTAAAATTTTTCATTGCCGCTTTTTGGTTTCTCAATAAAGTGGACAAATTCTTACAATTTTACAGATTACATTAGATTTTTATGTAAATGAGAACTCTATTTAAATTTTTTGCAAACTCTTACCAAAATGATGATATTTTTAAGGGAAAAGTGTGTATTATTTTAAAGATGTAAAATTATGTCATTTTAAGTGAGAGAAAGAAATAGATAAAATATATGAGAGAGTGGACAAAAAAATATAAAAATGTGGGTCACACCTTTTTGTGAGAATAAAATAATATAAGTTGTGTAATTTAAAAGGATAAACACTTTTTTCTATTTTTAAATGGATAAATTCTTATAATTTTACACATTATATTAAATTTTTACGTAAATAAGAAGTGTATGCAAATTTTTTACAAATTTTTATCAAACATGATATTCTTCAAATCCGATGTGAACTTTTCCAGACAAAAAATCCAAACTCCCCTACCAAATAGCAAGTATCATGGAATATTAGACAAAATGATAATAATAATAATGAAAAACAATCTACATCATGATTGCATCACCATGGTGCTCATCTCATCATTCACAGCTCGCATTCGCACCCACTCACTCACTCACTTCACTTCACTTCAACCATCTCTCGTAATTACATAATACTCTTCTAAGATAAGAGAAGAGAAGTGAAGTGAAGTGAAGTGAAGCACATCCATATTCATATCCACCATCGAAGAATAGACAGAGAGAATAGAGATTAACATAGTAGAGAGAAGAAGACAATGTCTTCTCTTTCTCATTCTCATTCTCATTCTGGCATTATTCCCCAAATTACCCTCACAACAATACTCTATTTCCTCCTCCTATCCCCACCGCCCTCCCTCTCTCTCAACATCACCGCCCTCCTCTCCACCTTTCCTGACTTATCACAATTCACCGCACTCCTCTCCTCCGCCACTCCCCTCGCCGCCGATCTCTCCGACCGAACCTCCCTCTCCCTCCTCGTCGTCCCTAACTCCTTCCTCTCCTCCGACGACCACATCTCCCGCCACCACCTCTCCCCCTCCGCCCTCGCCGACGTCCTCCGCTACCACGTCCTCCTCCAATTCCTCTCATGGTCCGACCTCCGCTCCCTCCCTCCCTCCGGCAAGCTCGTCACCACACTCTTCCAAACCACCGGCCGCGCCACTGACAACTTCGGTTCCGTTAACATCACCCGCGACCCTCAATCCGGCGTCGTTTCGATCCGCTCCCCTGCGCCCTATTCCCCTTCAAACGCCACCGTTTTGGGACTCGTCAAAACCCTACCCTACAATGTCACCATCTTCTCCGTCAATTCCCTCCTTATCCCTTACGGTTTCGATCTCATGGCCTCCGAAACTCGCCCCAACTTAGTTCTCAACATCACCAAAGCCCTAATCGACGGTCACAACTTCAACGTCGCGGCGTCGATGCTCTCTGCCTCCGGCGTCGTCCAGGAGTTCGAGGCCGACGAGGGCGGTGCCGGAATCACCATGTTCGTCCCTGTCGACGACGCATTCGCCGATCTGCCACCCTCCGTCAGCCTCCAGTCCCTGCCGGCGGACAAGAAGGCGGTAGTGCTCAAATTCCACGTCCTCCATTCCTACTACCCTCTCGGTTCCCTTGAATCCGTGGTGAACCCCTTGCAACCCACGCTCGCCACCGAGGCCATGGGTGCTGGAAGCTTCACCCTCAACATTTCCAGGGTCAATGGCTCCGTCGCCATCAACACTGGGATCGTTCAGGCCTCTGTTACTCAGACAGTGTTCGATCAGAACCCCGTTGCAATTTTCGGTGTTTCCAAGGTTTTGTTGCCCAGAGAGATATTTGGGAGGAATCCAATTGTGGCTGCCAAAGGGGGATCTCCCCAGGACGGTGCTGCTCCGCCGCCAGATGATGATGCCCTTTCGCCGGATAATTCGCCGGGGATCAATGGCCAACCGTCACACCTTTCGTCCCCGCCGGGGTTTCGCCAAGATATGCGCTCTGACGCTGCTGTTTGTGCTTCCAAGCCCTTTGTTGTTATTCTTTTTTGCTGTATAGGATTGTATTTAGTTGTATAAGATTACTTGGTTTTTGCTCCTAATTATTATTTTTTTGTGGGGTTTTGTTTTAATTTTCTCCACCTCCTGTACACGGTTCAAATTGCATTATTAGGTTGCAAATGCAGCCTTTTTTCCTTGCTTTTTTGTCATCTTCTTCTTCACGAAATATTATAAAATCTTCAATGTTAATTGTGCCGTTGATCTAATAATTGGTGTTATTATGGAGATCAATGCCGTTTCTCTGCTTTTTTTGTTTTTCCTTGTATTTTGATATACAATGCAGTGCATCGGGTATTAATAGTTAGTTAAATGAGCCTTTGTATTGTTTTAGACATAATTCAGGATATGGTAAGGTTTAGTTGAGTGCTGTAATGAATGTGACTCTCCGTATAGTTATCAAAATCCTTTTACGTATTATTACCTGCCAGGTGTTGCCCGAGTGATCTTATGCTGATTGAGTGTGCCTTGCGGAATAGCCAATTTCATTTGGCTTCTATGGATACTTCAGTTCTCATGAATGCAGGAGTTTGCGCAGCTTGCTTGTTATTGTTATCTTATCCAGATGACCATCAGGTAGCTCCTTCTTTATTAAACTGCTATTGTGGATTTAATAAGTATTAACCTGTAATCTGGGTGCAAATCCAAAAATAATGTCACATTGTGTAAGTTGAACTGTATGCTTATTTGTAAGAGCTGTGAAAGGTTTCTGAAAACAAACTTACCTGTTTTTATGTATGCACTCTCTTAAGAAAGGCGTTAAATTTGATGTTAACAATTTTGGAGTTGTTATGATTTCCTATAATGTGCTGAATGTACTGAATTGATTTGTAGCTTTTCTGAGTAGACATCGAGAATTTCTAGTTGCAGCTTTATCTTATATCATGAGTTATGACTTTTCTTTTTTTTCAACTGAATGATAAATCATTATCTGTTTTAAAATACTTATCTTTAATGACCCAGATTTCAAATAGATTTGTCAACTTGTGTATCAGATCATTGAATAGAATTGACATGTGATGACATCAGAAACTGATCCATTATATATTATTTGTTGTCATGGAATGTATTGCTCTTTCTTCTTGATCAATGATTCAATGTTCTTGTTGTATTAACTTATGATTTTCATTATTTACTATTTTGCAAAGATTGTGGAACAGAGGACTAAAAACTGGTGTGACTGTAGAAATTTAAAGGTTAGAGAGTTCTACTGCAAGTTTGTCACAAGTAAGGATAGAAAATGGCTAGAATTCATGCAATGCAAGAACAATTCTAAAGATTCTTATTAAGCATGACGTTGCTCTTATCCTTATTTGGATATTGAAAAACAAGTGTAGATGATATAGTGCTCTGGTTATGTGAGGTCTGGCTTTGAAAGGAGCCAAGGAGCACCTTGGTTGAGTCTTTTGAGGAGATTAATATATTGGAAGGAGGTTTTTGCGTTCCCGTGGAACAACCTTCTTTTTCATGATCTTTTACTTTTCTCATAAAACCTGAATTTAGGTGTGTCTTGTCTACTCATGCTCAAGCTGAATGTCCTACCACCTGCCTTTTAGACAGTTTGGATCCCCATATTCCACTGGCTTCTGTGGCCCTTGACATTTTTTTTTTTGGAAGTATTGATGTTGGCAGAATGGGATGGATCATTTGATTGTATGTGTATTGGTTTCCACTAAGACCTTAATTCAGGAGAGATAGAATGAAAAGACGAAAAGAATTAAAGTGAAAGGTTTTTCAATTATGCATTTTGTATTATTGAAGATTTGATTTATTGCAACTCGGCCTCTAATTATCTCTTCTCCCTTTAAAGCAACTTTTGCTTCTTTTTGTTTGTTTCGTCTACTGCAAAACAATGCAAGTAAGGATTTTGATACTGAATATTCAACCCCGTAAAATGTAGATGGTTGTCTGTTTTCTTTCTTTCTTTCTTCCTCTTTATTTTTTGTTTAAATTTTTTCTGGTTTGTCCTGAAGTTTAAATATGCTGTAATTGCATATATAATCTCATAAAGCTTATCTGAACTTAGTGCATTTGGGTGGTAGATTGGGCTAGATCTTGGTCACCTGTCTTAAGCTTGATTATTGTTCCACTGATAGGGATGTTCTGCTCTTCTGGAATTTGCTTTCTGCTCTGGATTAATATAATGATTGGAGGGAATTATCACCTGGCATGTGTTTCTGTTTTTGTGTTTACTGATTTGGTTTGGAAGGATTACATATCCTTTGTATTTGTGTTCTTTATTTCTCAGTTCTCACTCACTGATAAAATATCTTCCCTGTGTGTGACACACTCATGCACTTAAAATGGATTTTGCCTCTGATATCTACTCTTTCCTCAAGAGTGCATTTGCCCTGTATACGTAGGAAGTCAAATTCTTGAATGGCAGAACATACGAGTGATAATAACTTGTGTTGTTTGCCTGTTCAAATATTAAGAACTTATTCACAGTATGATGTAGGTATTATTATATTTAAGTGGGAACTTTTAGCGGCACCTATGGTCAGAGTAAAGATACAGCAAGAGACCCAAACCCTTTGGCACAGTTGGTCCGGAGACTTTGGCACAGTTGGTCCGGAGGCTGTGTTCCTTTAACCAGTGGTCTCGAGTTCGAGCCCTGGGTATGGAAAAAAAGGATTGGGTAGAGCCGCCCCCGCAAGGGTCCTACGGTGCTCGGTTTGGGATTAGTCTCACCCCCGAATGGGGGTGGGATACCTTTCAGTTTATTGAAAAAAAAAAAAAAATACAGCAAGAGAAAAATTACATTAACCAGACTGAGCAGAACCAATGAACCATATTTTTAAACTCAAACTACATAGATATGCGCTACATTATAGTAGGAGTGGGGAATATAACACTTTGATAGAGCAACGAAGATTCCCTTATTATATAAGGAATTAGTGTTTCTTATGTTATAGGAGATAATTTTATCTTCTACATATACATAAAAGTGTGTTAAGTGTGTGGGGTTCATATTTTTTTTCTAGTTTTTTTTTCCATATGATCCTATATGGATTCCATACACTTTTATGTGTGTAAGAGATAATTTTATTTTTTATAACATAAAAACCTATTATATAAAGTGAGATTTGCAAAGAGTCCAAAATCTAAATGAACATGTGAATGATATTCGTTCTCTAGTATCATTTCACTGTACCCTGTGTTTGGATTTACATTCTGGAGTTACTTTTCCTCTGTAAACAATTATTTGTTTCAATTTGAAAAGACATCTTGATTTTTGACAACTTTTAGGAATATTAGCCTTTATACTGTGCATGACCGTGCAATTAATATGTATACGAGAAATGTGTTTTTCATGTTGTATGAGACAATTGTCTTATTTATATACAAAAAATGGATGAGATTTAATTTTTTTCTTTATCTCTTTTTTGCTTAGTGAATTTTATCTATTTTTTTATGTGTTGTATGAAATAACCAATAAAATTAAGAGCAACTAATATGAGAATGGTAGTTTCGATATTTAATAAATTTTCCAATTTCATTATTGTTCGTTACGAATAGTATCTCTGAAGGCTTCCTCACCCAAAGCTAAGCCACGGGATTCTCGGTTGGCAATTATTTCCTCTATCATGGGGTCCTCTTCTTTTATCGTCATTTACTACCCGTCTCTTTTTTGGATAGTCATACTATTGATTAAAATATTACTCTTCATCAATTTTTTTACCTAATGTCACAAGAACATTGTTATTTTTCAATCTGGCACGAGAGTAAGTTCGTTACCCGGTGTAGCGAACTCGATTTGCTGACGTGTCACGTTTCTAGTGGACACTAACTTGATTTTAACCAAGTTCGTCTACATGGTAGGCGACCTTTATTTTTTATTATTATTATTTTTTTTAAAATTTGATATTTGTTATCTATTAAAAATGTGACACGTCAGCAAATCGAGTTCGCTACACAGGGTAGCGAATTTTCCCCCATAAAAAATAACACTCTTCGCGTGACATTTAGGTAAAAAAATTGATAAATAGTGACATTTTGATCGGTGTTCCTACTATGTCTAACTATCAAGGGGGACAGCTGACAAAACAGTTTAGTTTCGGGCTATTGTCGCCTCCACATGTCTATATGCTGCAATGATTCTTCCTTGTAGTTAAAGCATTAAGGGTATGTAGTTGAAGGTACATAGTACACCCCGTTCTTATGATTGCAGTTGTTTGGATGAGAAATTTTGTTATGTGATAAGCATTTCGTAGGGCGATACACGTTCATCTTGTCACGAGAGTGTTTTTCTAAAATATTAGGATTGTAGTTGGCTTTGGTAGGGCGATACATGAGCTGGCTAGGACATGCTTGGTCGCTTCCAAGTACGATCCAGCTTGTAAGATGATTCAACCATGAAAGCGATCGAAAGTTACTTCATTCTTGGTCCTTTTTCAGAGGGCCAAGGAGTTTCCATATAAATTTAATCCATTGAGTTAGGCAAATTGAATATTGTACTCGGTTCCTCAGGTCGGCTCAGGGGCCTTTGCGGAAGTCAGTTAATGAGATCCTCGATTTCAGATCTCAGCAATACCTCAGCCTGAACTTCACCAGGTCGGGCAGCGCAGCGGAAAAATCAAAACGAAAAAATAGGAGACAAGAGAGAGAAGAAGAACACAACCAGATTTAACGTGAGAAAACCTTCTTCAATGAAGAAGTAAAACCCCACGGGACCTAGTCCAGATCAAACATCCACTATGAAAATAATGGTTACAAATAATCAGAATCACCAATGTGGTGGTTAACTCAACCTCTCCAACAATGGTGATAATCAAACTACCCTAGAGATGTTTCACTCAAACTCTCTCTAGAGATCTCTCAAATGCAAAGCATAAAGCTTTGCTGAAACAATCAAATAATTATCTCTCAAATTTTCTCTAATCTCTTAACCTAGCCTCCACCCACAACTAATGAATATATAAAGGAGGTGAGATCTAGGGTTAGGGTTTTTAGGAAACCCCTCAATGGGCTTGGGCTTAGTATTGAAGGAGGAAGCCCAACAAATCTCCCCCTCCGACTTCAATGCGTCGGCTTCAGCATCAACCCGGCTCCTTCACAGCAGTCTTCAAATTTCCTTGCTGGAACCGGCTTCGTCATCATGTCGGACCAATTTTGGTCAGTGTGCACTTTGACGAGTTCGAGCTCTCCACCTTCCACCACATCCCGGATCCAGTGATACCTCACATCAATATGCTTAGTGCGGGAGTGATAGGTCGAATTCTTCGCAAGATGGATTGCACTTTGATTGTCACAACCCAGCTCGTACTTGTCTTGATCATGGCCGAGTTCCATGAGGAACTTCTTCATCCACATCATCTTTTTGCTTTCCTCAGTAGCGGCAATGTACTCAGCCTCAGTTGTCGATAGTGCAACACATTTTTGAAGTCTTGATTGCCAAAAGACAGCTCCTCCGACAAATCTCATCAAATATCCTGTAGTCGACTTCCTCGAGTCAGCGTCTC